GGCGCGCAGTGGAGCCCAGGGCAAACCCCAGGCAGGGCTGGGGCGACCGAGCTGCGAATATCCCCATCCCAGCTGGACCCCGGCACGGTGCTGAGATGCCAGGTGGATGGATACAGGGATGAGTGTGACTCTGACCAATCCCAGCCCCTGGGGACAGGTGAGCTCTGCTGCTAGACATGGCATGGGTAGAGCAGGGCGGGCTGGGAGGTAGGACGCTTGGGTTCTATCCCTGACATGGGTAGGGGGGACTAGTGGTTAGAGTGAGGGGCAGGGAGTGAGGGTTCCTGGGTTCTATCCCTGACACGGGGAGTGGGAGTGGGGTCTAGTGCAGGGGTGGGCAAACTATGACCCGGGGGCTGCATCTGGACATTTTAATCTGGTCGTTGAGCTCCCGCCAGGGAGCAGGGTATGGGGCTTGCCCCACTCCGCATGGCTCCCGGAAGCAGCGGCATGTCCCCCTCTGGCTCCTATACGTAGGGGCAGCCAGGGGGCTCCACACCCTGCTCCCGCCCCAAGAGCCGCCCCTGCAGCTCCCATTGGCCAGGAACCACGTGCTGGTGATTAGGATTCTAGGGTTCTATCCCCAGTTTAGGGAGGGGTGTGGCATTGTTACAGCAGGGTCCTGTACCTGGGGTCTATCCCTGACACGGGGAGGGGGTGTGTCTAGTGGGTGAATGCGGGGGGGAGTCAGGACTCCTGGGTTCTATTGACTGAAAAAAACTGTCATCTGGCTCTAGCAAATATTCTTGCCCTGTGGGACTGGACGGGGAGGGACCTGCTCTGACAAACTCTCACCCGACTCTCGCCCTTAGTCGCCCCCAACGTGCCCAGGGTCGAGGTTTCATGGCCAACATGGAAGGCAGCTCTAAGGGAAGGCGACGGTTTTACCCTGCACTGCCAGGCTGCTGCCCTGCGGCCCGTCGCCGGGTACGTCTGGTCCCACGGGGACGTGTGGCTGCCAGAAGCCGGGCAGGATTTACGTGTTGACAAGGCAGCTGTCTCTGACGGAGGGAGCTACGCGTGCGGGGTCTGGGTCTCCGGCCCCGGCTGGGGGTATCTGAGCCTCTCTGCGAGGGAATCGGTCGAAGTTCAGCGTAAGTATCGAAGGCTAGCGAAAGCCTCCTCCCTCGCAGCCCCCGATACTCCCCACACGGCCTCTTGGAGCAGCCCCGCGTGGCCCCGCCTCGTCCCCCCTTCTTTGTCCCACCCACCTCATCCCCCCTGCTTCATCCCCACCCACCTCGTTGTCCCCGGCATCAAATTCTGCCCCCGCCCCGTAATCACCACGTTTCGTTAACCCCAGTGCCACTGGCTCCGAGCTGGGCCCCCCTCCTCGTCTGCATCGCTCCTGTGGCTGGGCCCAGAAGCGACAAATTGAGACCGTGTCCCCCACACACCTGCCCTGAGCCCCCAGCCCCCTCCGGGCCAGGTCCTGCCCCTCCATCTGCCTTGTTCCCTCAGACCCTTCTGGGGGACCCCTACCCCTTATCCCCCTGCCAGTTCTGGACCCCTGGAGCCACATGGGCCAGGTCCTGCCCCTCACCTCCTGTCCTGGATCCCTTCCCCCCTCTGGGCCAGGGGTGGGGCTGGGGTTGGGCCTTTGTGCCGTAGGCCCAGCGCGGGAGGGTCGTCGTGGCGATCGCGGTGGATCACGAGCTCACCAGAAGCTCCCAGAGCCGCGGTGGCCAGCAGGGCTAGCGCGACCCCGGGGTGCATGAACAGGGCAATCTGGAATCGAGCAGAGAGGGGATTTTCCCTCTGGATCTCGCCCTGGTGTGATCGCGGCCAAGGTCCATGGGGCAGTGGTTGAATGGGCCCCTGGTGCCCGTGCTCCACCAAACTTTGGGGACGGATCTCTCCCCTGGCCCCGCCTGCCTCCCCCACACGCCTCCCCTGGAGCATCCCCCACAGCCCCACCTGCCACTCCTGGACTCTTTAAAAGGGTCCGGGGCCCCCGCCGCCACCACTGGCAGTGCAGCGAGGCTAAGGCGGCTTCCTGTGGACCTTGGGGGGTTGGGGGGGCACGTCTCTGCGTGCTGCCCCCACCCTGAGCTGTGGCCAATGGCAGCTGCGGGGGAGGTGCCTGAAGGCAGCGGTGCATGGAGACCCCTCCACCCCCCCCGCCAAGGAACTGCTGCCAGAGGGGGGTGCGAGTCGCTTTAGAGAGACGCCCGAGTTAAGCACTGCACCTCTCATCCTCTCCTGCATCCCAACCTCCTGCCCCAGCCCAGACCCTGCACCCAAACTCCCTCCCATACCCCTCCCCCCACATCCCCTCCTGCACCCCAACCCCCTACCCCAGCCCAGAGCCAACATCCTAACTCCCTCCCAGAGCCTGCCCCTGCACCCTCTCCTGCATCCCAACCCCCTGCCCAGACCCTGCACCCAAACTCCCTCCCATAGCCTTAGGCAGGTGGGGGTTGGGGTGGGACTTGGACCCATTCTGGGCACCACCAAA